TCCAACTCAGGCTAGTGGCTACGCGGTCATCTGCAGTGCTACGCATGTCCATGTACCAGTGTGTCATACAGAACATGCAATATATGGCAGCCCACCCAGACTGTAACTGATGCTCGTTTATTTCCATTTAATTTTCAAGCTGGATTCTAGGAGGAAGCTGCTGAGGTGAGATTTACCCTAGCAGTGCAGGTGAGCTGGGAAGTGGCTGCTCTGAAGCCCCATGGCTGGACCCGCTGCCAAGAGCCGCCATTCCCTGCAGGCTTATTCAGCTTTTGGATAAATGTCAGAATAAATTGTTTTCATGGCAATTCCACTATTTAATGTAAAATTCTATAACACTGCTCTTTTTTTTGCCAAAAAAACCAAAAAAATCCCCTTACTAAAAGTTTGATTACCATCTGAAGATGCAGATCCCTGAAAAAGGTATTTTTAGGTCCTTCAGACTGCAGCAGCCTGCTTGGTTTGAAAATCTTACTCTGCCTGAGGTTAGAGCGCTGCCTTATTCACAGTGAAGACCTGCACCCTGGGAGAGGTCCAAATTCTATGCATGTAAATGTCAGGCATTGACAACACAATTTAGGAATAATTGTTTTTATACTGAATTCTGCATTCTTAAGGGTGAGGAAAGTGCCTAACACACCCAGGGGATGTCAGAAACCTTCAAGGTCCTCTAGAAGTGAATGCGAGAAAACAGAGCTGAGAAACTTTCTCCTGCAAGTTCTCTCTTCCACTGAATTATCTCCATTCTCAAGACTCTGACTTTATCTCCTGAACTCAGATAAGTTTCAAGAATTCCTAAAAGATCCCTTCCAGGCCGGGCGCGGCGCCAAGGTGGGTGGATCACGAGGTCAAGAGATTGAGACCATCCTGGTCAACATGGTGAAACCCCGTCTTTACTAAAAATACAAAAAATCAGCTGGGCATGGTGGCACGTGCCTGTAATCCCAGCTACTCAGGAGGCTGAGGCAGGAGGATTGCCTGAACCCAGGGGGCGGAGGTTGCGGTGAGCCGAGATTGCGCCATTGCACTCCAGCCTGGGTAACAAGAGCGAAACTCCGTCTCAAAAAAAAAAAAAAAAAATAAAGATACATTCTGGCAATTGTTTATTTTAGGCAGGGTGGTTGTCTATGAGCTCTCTATAACATAAATCTCATATTACAAGAATAAAAATAGTAAAACAAATCCAAAACTCCTTAAGATATAAGCCTAAGGTTTTTTGAGAAAGTATGATTTTCCTTCTCATCTTCCCAAATACCTAAATCCATATATTTGGTTCATCACACACTGAGTCCAAATGACATAAAACAGTGATACGGTTTGGCTGTGCCCCCACCCAAGTCTCATCTTGATTTGTAACTACCACAGTTCCCATGTGTTGTAGGAGGGACCTGGTGGGAGGTGATAGCATTATGGGGGTGGGTCCTTCCTGCACTGTTCTCCTGATACTGATCGAGTCTCAAGAGATCTGATAGTTTTAAAAACAGGAGTTTCCCTGCAAAGGCTCTCTTTGCCTATCACCATCCATGTAAGGCATGACTTGCTCCTCCTTGCCTTCTGCCATGATAGTGAGGCCCTTCCAGCCGTGTAGAACTTTAAGCCCATTAAACCTCTTTTTCTCTCCAGTCTTGGGTATGTCTTTATCAGCAGCATGAAAATGGACTAATGGCCGGACGCGGTGGCTCATGCTTGTAATCCCAGCACTTTGGGAGGCGGAGGTGGGCAAATCACAAGGTCAAGAGATGGAGACCATCCTGGCCAACCTGGTGAAACCTCATCTCTACTAAAAATACAAAAATAAGCTGGGTGTGCTGGTGCACGCCTGCAGTCCTAGCTATGCAGGAGGCTGAGGCAGGGGAATCACTTGAACCCAGGAGGTGCAGGTTGCAGTGAGCTTAAATTGTGCCACTGCACTCCAGCCTGGTTACAGAGTGAGACTTTGTCTCAAAAACAAAACAAAACAAAACAAAACAAAAAAAACAAAAAAGACAACGGACTAATACAGTAAATCGGTACCAGACTGGGTACTGCTGGAAACATATCTGAAAATGTGGAAGTGACTTTGGAACTGTATAACAGGCAGAAGCTGGGACATTTTGGAGGGTCAGAAGACAGGAAAATTTGGGAAAGTATGGAACTTCCTAGAGATTCTGAATGGCTTTGCCCAAAATGCTGATAGTAACATGAACAATAAGGTCCAGGCTGAGGTGGGGTCTTAGACAGAGATGAGCAGCTTGTTGGGAAGTGGAGCAAAGGTAACTCTTGTTACGTTTTAGCAAAGAGACTGGAGGCATTTTCGCCCTGCCCTACAGACTTGTGGAACTTTGAACTTGAGAGAGATGATTTAGAATACCTGGTGAAAGAAATTTCTAAGCAGCAAAGTGTTCCAGAGATGACTTGGGTGCTGTTAAGGGCATTCAGTTTTATAAGGAAACAGAGCACAAAAGTTTGGAAAGTTTGTAGCCTGACAACATGACAGAAACAAAATCCCATTTTCTGAGGAGAAATTCAAGCTGGCTGCAGAAACTTGCATAAGTAACAAGGAGCCAAATGTTTATCCCCAAGACAATGGGGAAAATGTCTTCAGGGCATGTCAGAGGTCTTCACAGCGGTGCCCTCCCATCATAGGCCTCCTATTACAGGCCTGGAGGCCTAGGAGGAAAAAATGGCTTTGTGGTCCGGGCCCAGGGTCCCTGTGCTGTGTGCAGCCTAGGGACTTGGTGCCCTTCGTGCCAGCTGCTCCAGCCATGACTAAAGGGGGCCAAGGTACAGCTTGGGCTGTGGCTTCAGAGGATGGAAGTCCCCAGTCTTCGAAGCTTCTATGTGGTGTTGAGCCTGTGGGTGCACCGAAGTCAAGAACTGGGGTTTGAGAACCTCTGCCTAGATTTCAGAGGAAGTATGGAAACACTTGTATGTCCAGGCAGAAGTTCGCTGCAGGGGCAGGGTGCTCATGGAGAACCTCTGCTAGAGCAGTGCAGAGGGTAAGTGTGTGGTTGGAGCCCCCACAAAGAGTCCCTACTGGGGCACCACCTAGCGGAGCTATGAGAAGAGGGCCACCGTCCTCCAGACTGCAGAATGGTAGATCCACCGACAGCTTGCACCATGTGCCTGGAAAAGCCAGACACTCAACAGCAGCCTATGAAAGCAGCCAGGAGGGAAGCTGTATCCTGCAAAGCCACAGAGGCGGAGCTGCCCAAGACCACGGGAACCCATCTCTTGCATCGGCATGACCTGGAGTCAAAGGAGACCATTTTGGAGCTTTAAGATTTGACTGCCTTGCTGGATTTTGGGCTTGCACGGGGCCAGTGCAGCCCCTCTGTTTTGGCCAATTTCTCCCATATGGAATGGCTGTATTTACCCAATGCCTGTACCCCCATTATATCTAGGAAGCAACTAACTTACTTTTGATTTGCCAGGCTGATAGGTGGAAAGGACTTGCCTTGTCTCAGATGAGATGTTGGACTGTGGACTTCTGAGTTAATGCTGAAATGAGTTAAGACTTTGGGGGACTATTGGGAAGGCATGATTGGTTGTGAAATGTGAGGATATAAAATTTGGGAGGGGCGGGGGGGAATGATACGGTTTGGCTGTGTCCCCACCCAAATCTCGCTATTCCCACATGTAGTGAGAGGAACATGGTGGGAGGTGACTGAATTATTGGGGCGGGTCTTTCCTGAGCTGTTCTCGTGATAGTGAATGAGTCTCATGAGATCTGATAGTTTTAAAAACAGGAGTTTCCCTGCACAAGCTCTTTTTGCCAGCCGCCATCCATGTAAGCTGTGACTTGCTCCTCCTTGCCTTCCACCATGATAGTGAGGCCTCCCCAGCCATGTGGAACTCTAAGTCCATTAAACCTCTTTTTCTCCTCAGTCTCAGGTATGTCTTTATCAGCAGTGTGAAAACCAGACTAAACCATAAGGCTATCCACATCACAACACAAAACGGTTTCCAGTGATCTGTTAATGGGTTCTTCTATGTCAAGACCTACTTGAGCAAATCAACACTTAACATGCAGTCCATCACAACCACACTGTACTTTGCTGTAACCTCCAGACAACCTAGTATCTTAAAAAAAAAATACCCCAACAAGAGAAGACTTGCTTTGACATCATTGAATTGGACTAGGGAAATCTGAATGACTTCTGTAGTGATATAAGACTATTCCATTTGTCAAGTTGGGAAACTAGCAAAATGAATCTGTTTTGGGCATCTAACCATGCTATCTGGAATGTTAGCCCGCTGTGCTTAAATGTCACCTCTCTCTTTCTGGCAAATAAAACTTTCCTCTAGGCTGGACGTGGTGGCTCACGCCTGTAATCCCAGCACTTTGGGAGGCTGAGGCGGGTGGATCTCTTGAGGTCAGGAGTCTGAAATCAGCCTGTCCGACATGGTGAAACCCTGTCTCTACTAAAAATACAAAACTAGCCAGGCATGGTGGTGCATGCCTGTAATCCCAGCTACCTGGGAGGCTGAGGCAGGAAAATCACTTGAACCTCGGAGGCAGAGGTTGTAGTGAGCCAAGATTGTGTCACTGCACTCCAGCCTGGGTAACAAGAGCAAAACTCCATCTCAAAGACAGAAAACAAAAAACAAAAAAAACTTTCCTCTAAAAAAAAAAAAAAAAAAAAAGTTTTCAATTTTTAATGCTATATTGAGGTTTTGAAGACTTCTTCTTCTTCTTCTTCTTTTTTTTTTTTTTTTGAGACGGAGTTTCGCTCTTGTTACCCAGGCTGGAGTGCAATGGCGTGATCTCGGCTCACCGCAACCTCCGCCTCCTGGGTTCAGGCAATTCTCCTGTCTCAGCCTCCTGAGTAGCTGGGATTATAGGCACGCACCACCATGCCCAGCTAATTTTTTGTGTTTTTAGTAGAGACGGGGTTTCACCATGTTGACCAGGATGGTCTCGATCTCTTGACCTCGTGATCCACCTGCCTCGGCCTCCCAAAGTGCTGGGATTACAGGCTTGAGCCACCGCGCCCGGCTGGTTTTGAAGACTTCTTACATAAAAACAGCTTCCAAAGAGTTGTGGGTAAGGAGAGCACGTGGCTGAAGTGAGACCCGGCCCCACCTGGAGAGAAGTGGGCAGAAATGCCCCCGGCCTACAGTGAGGATCTTGACAGTGAGGAGAAGGGGGCCTGTGTACCTGGGCCCTGCCTGACATATATGCTGGGATACTCAAGAACATCTCTCCCTGTGGGTCCCTCACTGGGGAAAGGAAATCCACACTAGGACATTTTTAGGATCTCACAAAAGAGAGCAGAGGATAGGTCTTCCCAAGAAGGCTGCTTGGAAGGGAAGACAAAGGAGCACAGAGAAGGTGAGAGAGCATTGAGGAGAATCCACCCACACTAAGAACACATAGACTTGCATGCCATGGAAGGATGAGCACTAGACAGCATGAGACCCTGCATGCACCCCCAGGAAAAGAAGTGGAGGGAAGCAGCATGGCATGTGAACAGCAACTCAGGCTGGAAGAGCATGTGACCCAAGGAACCCTGAGCTCTCTGGGCCACAGGTCAATCTGGGAAGACAGGAATTCAGCAAAGCACAAAAACCCACCAAATGCAATGGAGGGGGAGGCTGTGAGGCAGGGTCCAGAGGGCACTCTCCCTGTTCCTGTATAGCCATCAGCGGAATGGTGTTCACTGGCTTTTCTTTGAGACAGGGACTCGCTCTGTCACCCAGGCTGGAGCACACTGGTGCAACCTTTGCTCCCTGTAGCCTATGGCCACTTAATTTTCTTAGTTTTTTTTTTCAATAGAGACAGTCTCACTACGTTGCCCAGCCTGGTCTTGACCTCCTGAGCTCAAGAGATCCACCCACCTCAGCCCCCCAAAATGCTGCAATAACAGATGTGAGCCACCATGGCTAGTCTGGTTTTTACATTGTTGAAAAAATACAAACAAACAAAAAATAGTTTATGACATTAAAATTATATGTAATTAAAACCCTAGGCTGGGTGCAGTGGCTCACACCTGTAATCCTAGCACTTTGGGAGGCTGAAGCAGGTGGATCATGAGGTCAGGAGTTCAAGACCAGCCTGGCCAACATGTTGAAACCCTGTCTCTACTAAAATTACAAAAATTAGCCAGGCATGGAAGCAGGTGCCTGTAATCCCAGCTACTTGGGAGGCTGAGGCAGATAACTGCTTGACCCTGGGAGGCAGAGGTTGTAGTGAGCCAACATCATGCCACTGCACTCCAACCTGGGCAACAGAGTGAGACTCTGTTTCAAAAAAGAGTAATGAAAACCCTAGTATCCATCAACGAAGCTTTAGTGAGCCCCGCCACACTCATGGGTCTACAAGCATCTGCAGCTGCCTCCACACCCCAGGGAGAGAGCGCGGCTGCAGAGGCAGTGCAGCCATAGGACTGAAGACATGCACTTTTACAGAAAGGTTGTGGAGCCCTGCTGTCAAGCTTAGAAAACCAGCAGAGGGTTCCAGCAATACTGTGACAGAACCAATGGAATTTAAACCACAAGGAAGAAACAGACATGGCTGAAAAGTCACTGACTGGGAAGATGGACACAGTCCTGCTGAGTGCCAAAAAGAAACAGGGAGCACAGACTCGAAGAAGAAAGGTGACCTAAACCAACAGACTGAGACCTTCCAGCTGAGGCACCAATGCGTGGGACAGGAAAGGTGCTAGAGGCACAACAGAAAAGAACCTCTGGAAGTGAGAACTG